TATCTCTCCTCCGAATCGCCCTAGCACAACCGAACCTGCTCCGCGTCTGCCACCTAGACAAGCACAGCCCGCACCAGCCAAAATTCACAAACCCAATGATTCATTGCTAGGCCTCGACTTCTTCGGTAGCACCCAGCCTTCTACTGGTAGTCGCCCGTCTAGCACAACATCCACACCAGCAACACCAGCTGGAATGTCTCGGCCAGACCTCAAACAGTCAATCTTGTCATTGTACTCGAAGCCGCAGCCGGCATCAACCGTGCAGCACCAGCGGGGCAACTCCTTCGGCGACATGGCCTCCCCTCCTGCCCCCTCCGCTTCGTCTCACATGGGCGGTCTTACGGACGCCTTCAGTGGACTGAGCTTCCCGACCACTACTTCTCCTCCACTCGCCAAACCGGCTGAGAAGCCATCGGCATTCTCTAATCTCTCATCCTTCAGCGGCGCCAAGTCGACCCCTGCTGCCCCGAAGGTTACATCGCCCTCGGGTTCTACGGGCGACTTCTTCGATAGCTTCACCTCCGCAACCGTGTCAGCCCCGAAGTCCCAGTCCCGAACAACTTCCATCTCCAGTGGGCAAGATTTCGGATTCGGTGGATTTACTTCCCCAACTGTTAAGCCTAACCCTCCATCATCGTCCCTGTCAAATGACTTGTTCGGATTTTCTTCGCCTACTACAAAAGCCTCAACGGTCCAACCCCCGAAGCCTACTGCAACCTCTCCTCGGCAGGAAATGAGATCTGCGTTTAATATTTCTGCTCCCCCAATGCAGCCTCCTGCCCCCTTGAAAGCGCCAGCCACCAGCGCTGCGAACGCAGCAGCAGCCAGCATGATGTCTGGAAGCTTTGATCCATGGGGCGGGAACGCATGGAGCACACCTGATCATGCCTCATCGCCTCATGCCGTACCCTCGCCTGCATCTATGATGAAGGTACCAGATACCTTGACTCCGAACGACGTGGGCCACGGCTGGGGCGCACCCAGTGCTGCTGCTTCTAAGCCTGCACCCACTGTGGCTGCGGACGAGGACTTCGGCGGCTGGGCCAGCGCTGCCCCGGTCTCCCACCCTACCTCTACAAGCACAAATAACAAGTCTAGTGGATTTGGCGGATCTGACGACCTCTTTTCCAACGTTTGGGAGTAGAGTATATCTTCTTTGCAACCGATCTAAGGTCTGCCACTATATTGAATTTCTAGGATTTGCACGAGGACAGCTGCGTATTTGCAAGCATGATTGCACATTGCACATTGCACATACCGGTGTTAATCGTTTTCAATATCCTTTCCTAGAATTATTTCCTCTTTTTTCTTTTCTTCCCTTTTACATCTTCCTTGTCACGGGCTCTTGGTCTCTAAAATGTTGGCGGCTTTCGAATGTACAGTGGGCGGGTTCCATGCATACTGAATGATCAGCTCGTTTTGTTCGCCTCGAAATCTGTACACTTGTCTTACAATGCATCCATAATACCCTAGAGCTCATGTTTGAACACTGTGTAGGTAGCCTTGAGGTCTGGAACACTCTAGTTTAATACAATGATTGTTTTATTTCTAGCCATGTCCTGTCTGGTAGACACATTGATACAATTTTACTTCGAGGTGCTTGATTAGTTAGATCTTTTTTGATCCGCGGCTTCAATGAATCACTAGCCAGTCCTCGTACATCGAGAGTGTGGTGATATCTTGGATATTCGATAGTAATAGTGTTGTAATTGGGTATATCATCGCGTAAAAGCCAAAAAAAACCGCCACATAAGAGCCATAGGTATATAAAACAAGAGAGAAGACCACCAGACAAGAAAGGAAAAAGAAAAAGAAAAAAAAAAAGAAAGTGTAGAGAATGAACCCATTGGACCAACCCAAATCATTATAAATCAAAAGCTATGCTTCTTCACCAATTCCTTCGTACTGCCCATATCATCATTAATAACAATCTTCGAATGCGAGGTACTCTCCTGCGTAACATTAGTCGTGACCTTGATGCCCGCAAAAACCTCCTTCACAGGCTCCTTGGTGTAGCTATTGAAGGAACCAGACGGCGACAGAGCTTCCAGATCGTGGTCGTAATCCGAGCTGTGACCGCGCCCACCGACGACAGAGGCCAGGACTTGCGTGTTGCCGTTTGCTGTGAGGGGGTTTCCGTTTCTTGTATGTCGCGTGGTCCTGCTGCGGTAGCCGTTGCTTCGGGTGGAGAAGATGTGAGGCAGGAGCTTGGAGAGGAAGGCGCGTGTGCCCGGGAGAGAGGCGCAGATAATTGCGACGTTGCACTCGACGGCGGACCAGGTTGCTGCGCCGACATTGTCGTCTGGGGTAGATTGTTAGATTTGGCTCGTGGATAGGGGAAGGGTTTTGCAGGTGATTGTTAGTACTTACAGGTTGGATCGCTTGAGTTGGCGATAACGAGGAGAGATTTGAGACGGAGTATACTTGTGATCAAAACGCTGGGAGAATGATTGTCAGCATTGTTAAATGATTTTCATCATATTGGACTTACAATCCACCTAGCGCGAAGACAGCAATAAGAGCGAACTTCTGCTTCTTGGGCAATTGTAGCGATTTCAAGACTGGCATTGGGTATATGAGAATGAGAGTATCGGTAAGAATGTGGATAGCCGAGTTGGAGAACCACAAGGCTTTTTTATCCAAACAGAAGCCCGGGACAGTTGGATCCCAGAACTTGGCGAGAGGAACACAGTTGGCCCAGGCGCTAATGATCGTCCAGGCTCCGTAGAAGCCTAGAAAGCCGATCAGGACCCAACATGCTCGGCGCATGCGCGGTGTGGAGAAGACTCGTTTATATTGGAGAAGGATCGACATCTTTGTGCTGATGAGGCTTGTTTGATATATGGGAACTGAAGCCCAGAAGTACTGTAAGAGGGCCATGTCAATGGAACCGCACTTTGTTGGAGGGATGTTCTGCTGTGGAACTTACGAGCATCTGAGTCTTGAAGGTCGCAGCGGGGATATCCTTATAGTGCTCACCCATGCCGTGGTAGACTTCGCCGACCATCAGGCCGAAGAAAACCCACGAGAAGGCCAGAGAGACTAGGATGACATAGTCGTCCGCTCCCATCTGCTTTACGAGAAATGCTCGTGTAAGTATACGCACGGCAGCAATTAATGTTGCAATAGTCGTAAACACAATGCTGATGGCGAGGGCCTGGTGACCACGGGGTGTCGATAGAGTAGTCATCGTGTCATAAAGGCGTATATAAATGAGTGAAGGCCCAGTTTAGTGCACGGATTGTGATTGTGAACAGAAGGGTGTTCAATGCGCTGAAAGAGAGATCGCAAAGTTCCTCTGTTGACTTATAGTAGATATGAACGGCACTTTCTCAATGCTCGAGTTCAAGTATCCCGGGATTAGGGAATGGCCCGCTTCTCAATACATATGTACAAAGGAGGGATTAGGAGACCGTAAAGTATGGCGTACGCGAAAAAAGGAAAATAAAGCCCGAGGTAAGAGGAACGGGAGTCCCTCTCCACCGGCTTTGAAGATCACATTCAGCCACCGAGGTAGATATGGGGCAATAGTAGACAAAGTATTTAATTTTGATAAGATATGCATTCATATTCGTCCCATTAGCCTGGTTGTCCGAAGGCACTAGGGATTAGCGGGCCCATTCTCACGTGGCGATCAGTAGAAAGCGGGAATTTGTGTCGTGCATTGTAACTATAAGGGATATTTGTCATGTCCGAAGCACACCGCACACCGTAAATTGCGTATTATTGTCAAAAGTATACGGCGTATACTTATATCTACGGAGTACAGGTTACCTACCTACCCTCGTAGGTAGGAGGTTGAAGGATGCCCTGAAGAGCACATGGTCTCCGCATGGCATGAACTTTGTTTTCAGCAAAACGTTCTCTGATTCGTCGATTCAAATGCTTGATCCATGCTTGCGTTGTCGGCCTATATGTACATAATAGGAATCTCTCCCCTGCTTGGGATTGCATCACTGCAGGTGGGTGCGTGGAACCCCCAAAACGTGGGAATAATTGCTTTTTTTAAAAAAACCTCTGAGTAGCGATTGGTCCACTCACGGCCAAGATCGTCTTACCCCCATAAACCGGGCTACATCGTCGTGGATGTCCTATGATATAAAATCAATAGCGTCAAATAACCCCCCCATCAAGACCCTACAAGACTCGGGTTTCTTCGTTTCAATAGGAGCAGGAGGGGTTAGGGGTGGGGCAGTACAATCCTATTGTTCTTGCGATCTGCACTCACTTCTGCAGCCCATTTTTGCATCTGAACAAACCTGGGGCCTGAAACTCCAATTTCGGGGAGTTCGGGGATATATCTTGATTATACAAACATTTGAATATTTACTGCCCTAATTACAACTGCACGACTCAATACCCCGTATTTCTGCAAAGGCTCTAGCTCTCGGTGAAATCGAAAACTCTGAAGAACGCCGATCTAATTCGTATGTTCCCAACCGGGAATGGGCGGCGCGCACGGTGCCGAAGTATTTGAATTAATCGACGGTGAAGAAAAGCATCGACTATTGAAGGATAATACGGAGTACTTTGCGATCATTTTGATTGTGATCTAGTGTTGTCCATTATACATGGGAAAGACCTTATCATACGTTATAGAGGAAATAAGCTCCGTATGGCTACTCCCTACTGTTATTCTCATTGGTAATATTATCCTTCTACCTTTTTGAACCTCTAGTTAAAAAAGACGTCTAAATAAGACATCAGAGTGTTATCTTAAAATAAAGCTTATATCGCGAGAGCTGATATGATTTGAGTTCGCAGCTCGAACCAATTTGCGCGTGTCCATGGCTCCACAAGTACCACGGTGCTCTCATTGAACTAACATTGAAGGGGTAAAGCAACCACCACTTCTTGCCAATTGTTTGGTTGAGGAGCTTGACAATATTGTCTTTAGCTCGTTCGTAAGCTATCACAAGAGGATATGTTGTGGCGATAAAAAACACAGAGGGGAAATGACAATGCCTGCTGATGACCTGAACATGCGCGTTGACGTTGTACTAGTAGAAGAGATCCACGATATCGTCTTTGATGGGACCGAGAGGAGGAATGTTGGGGTCGGAGTTGCTGAGATACTTTTGCATGCCGAAGAGCTTCCCGTGTCCTTCGGGGCTGTAGTCTCCGCTCGGGAGGAAGGTATAGGTTGATCCGTCCTGGAGACCTGCCTTCACTAGGACGTCTCTGTGTCCTTGGGTAACGACTCTCTTTCCTGAGTAGTCTCTGTAGAGATACAGAGTTTGCTCATCTTCCCACATTGGAAGGTTGAGGTGACATTAAGATTGTGCCGGCTCATGATAGCTTCAATCTCCGGGTAAAGTGGACTGATCCTCTGTTCTAGAGCAGGCACAGTCTCCATTTTCACCGGTAGAGGTAGTGGACTCGTGACGCTGACCGACCGATAGATCTTGGAGGAGTGCATGTACTGCTCCAGACTCATATCACCCTCCGACTCTTCTGATTCACGAAGATAACGACGCCTTTTGCGAGGCGACAAAGGAGTTATGGCCCTGGGATGGTGCGAAGGCCAGAGGACAGGAGCTGGATCAGCCATCACTGATAAGTCAAGAGAACGATAAGAAGCTTCAGCATAAAGTAAAAAGAAGGAGAATATGCCGGATCGAACATTGCAGAAGTATTGTGAGGATAAGAAGAGCAGATGGTATGAAGAGAGATGGAGCAAGAAGAGAGAGAGAAGGAACGAGAGAGAGGTACCTGATAGCAAACTGATTCTGTGATCTCATTTTCTTACATCCCATTGATTCGAGTCCAGACTCTTTATCCAGCGACACACTAGCTACCATATCCCTATAGTATTCTTAACACTTCCAGCATGATACCATCCAAGTACCTTTCTATGAAAATTTAGAGATTACAGATATATCGTAGGGTTATGCGGTGTCTCTACCTAGTTCTAAATTCTACCCTATCTATCGTCTTCACCCTACTTCTTCGTATAATTAATAAAAAACAGCTAAAAAAACATCTGAAAGGGTACCAAGAAAGACTACTACTCTTATTGATTTAGATATGTATAGAAAGTCATCCATCCTTGTAGTTAGGTTATCATCATGACTCATGGTTGGTTAGTATGGTTAGCCTCAAGCATCATCGAATTTTGCCCATATTGTAGATTGCACCGCTTAGCCTACCGCCTTTTTGACGTTTTACTGATTAACCGTGCCAATTCATCACTTTTTCCTTTTTTTTTGCATTTGAGGTGCGCAGATCATCCGCAAATACAGAACGTGCCAATTCAAGCCCTGATTGGCCAGTAAAAGCTAATATGGATCGATAGCTTCGCGGGGGTTGCGCAGAACCTTGCATGCAAATGCCTTGGATCTTCAACAAGCATGGATGTAAATTGAACAAAGTGTACAATCCATCTCAAGTCCATTTACCTCATATCCAGTCACACAAATTGGGTCCCGGAGAATAATGGCCGATCCCGTGGGCCAAGTCGGGACAACCCACTCACGGTCCTCCGCACCACGGGTCCGCCTCACCTGCGAAGCATGTCGCCAGCGCAAAGTGAAATGCGACAAGTTGAGTCCTTGTACAAGCTGCCAGCGACTTGGCCTCGTGTGTATTCCTGTGGAACGTGCGCGTCTACCCCGCGGCCGCGCGCGAAAGCCCGAGCGGATTGTAGGCTCGGACACGGAACTATCCGAGCGGGTAGCGAGACTCGAGAAACTTCTAAAGATAGTTGCAAATGAACGAGGTGATGAATCGCAGATTTCCTCCATTGTCCATGCGCCTTCGCATTCATCCACACAGCAGGAGTCGGTGGCAGAGGCCAGCACGGCCGGTCCTGATACTCGCCAGGACCATGACTACTTGCCCGGTGCAGCCCAGCCACATCTTCCCCGCCCTTCAACTGCGTATGTGGGGGGTCCATTTTGGGAGGATATCATGCAGCAAGTAAGTTTGTTAAACTTATGATTTGGGGATGTGATTGACTCATGTCACAATCACAGACCCAGGAATTGCGCAGTGTCCTGGAAGATCGTCTAGAAAATGAAAACCACGATATCAAAGATTCAGCCTCTGGTTTTGGTGTGTCGGTTATGAGCTCAGAAAGCCCCGACAGTTCGTCGAACTCACCCCAGGCCAACAGTCGATTAAATCTTCAACCCCAGATCCGGCACAGGTTATGTGATATTTTCTTCCGCAACGTCGATCCTCTGTTCAAAATCTTACATCGGCCGTCGCTCCAAGCATTTATTAGGGATGGCAAGCCTTATCTTGACTATGAGCAGGATCACCAGGCACCAGCCACCCTTGCTTCGGCTATTTATCTTTGCGCTGTTTGTACTCTTGACGAAGTGGAATGTCAGTCAATATTCAACACGAGCAAGAAGATAATAGTCGCAGAATTCCAAAAAGAAACCGAATCTGCACTTACAAAGGCGGACTTTGTCACGACGAACGATCTCACTGTTCTGCAAGCTTATATTATCTCTCTGGTCAGTACAACTACAAGTTCATCGTCTTCGCGCTCCTTCATCTTAAAATTCTAATCTTAAACGCTTCTAGCTCGCCGCACGATCTCAAGACCAGAGTCGAAGGGTCTGGACTATGTTGAGCATGGCACTCCGAGTAGGGCAGGCATTATCTCTCCACATGCCCCAGCCACCATTCACGGTGCGCCCTTTTGAGCACGAGATGCGCAAACGAGCATGGCTGGGAATCGGCCTTCTTGATGTAGCAGCCTCCCTAGACAGGGCATCCGAGCCGATGATGCAATCCGCATGGCTCGATTACAACCCGCCTTTGAACATCAACGACGAGGACCTATGGTTCGACATGACAGGGCCAATCTCCGAACACACAGAAGGCACATTTACCGACATGACGCATACCTTGGTTAGCGCAGCGGCTGCGTCCGTGACTCGAACCCTTGCATTTTCGGACGTCACAGAGCCAGCTGTAACTATCATGAGTTTGCGACAGCAAGTCGTCCACGATTTCCAACAAAAGACGTCAGTACTTTTGGGTGGCTGCAGGCCCGACCTGTCGGACTTCCAGTGGTACGCACAGAAGACAGCATGTCTTATGGGCAGCTGGCTGCAGCTAGCATGTCTCCGGCCGCTGCAACGCAGCTATAATTTCATACCCCCGAAAATCCAGGAGAATGCTCTTCTCAAAATCGCAGCTGATGACCTGCAGTGCTCGCAGGAGGTATACAACCACCCAGGTTCCAGGTCCTGGCGGTGGTATCAGTCGATGTGGGTTCCGTGGCACGCATTGGCTGTGGCCCTTGCCGAACTCTGCGTCTGCAAAAGTCCCACGGTGATGTCAAAGTACTGGACAGTCGTTGAAGATGTCTACCACCGCTCGCGGCTCGTAATTGCAGATTCTCAACAGGGCATGCTCTGGAAACCTTTAGAGAGGCTCATGTCACAGGCGAAAACGCAAAGAAATCAGCTCCTCGGTATTGATGCCTCTCGCCAAGCAGTGTCTCAATACTCTTTTGACGGCATTTCTCCCGAGCTTTTCTCAGAACAATCTGAACGTCAACAGGATCTTACGAACTTTTCGCTTGATTTGAGAGAGGCCGTCGATGGACCACGAGACTCGCACGTTGCAGAAGTGCCGACTTCCTTTGCGCCGGTGCCCTGGCCCAATGTGTGGGATGCGATGGATTTCAGCGACCCGACTCTGCAAAGTAGCTCCGATGACACGGCTTGGTTGAGCTATGAGAACTTTATCGACAATGTCTACGATAGCGTCGATTCCATTTTCTTGCCACGGTGAAAACTACACATCGGGGAGCCAGTGAAGGGGAACTTGGATTGCACAGAGATGCCTATCCTTTAAAGCTAATAACGTATTCGGTAAGCGAGCTGCACACGCAACCGAGCTGCGCACCCCAACCAAAACGCGTCCGTAAATTAGTACCTAGTCAATTCAACTACCTACCATGCCACCAATATGCTCCCGATTGTCTATAAAGTCAATAGAGTAGGAGGGTAGGGTCTTATTAGCTATTAAGGCTTTTAAAAAAGAAGAGATTACTTCTATTTATGGAATTGCTTATACCTTTAGTATACCCGAGTCTATACTCTATATACGCCTACGTGGTATTTAATACCATACGATTTCATATACCAACTATTCTAAATTAACTATAATTAAAGAGGAATCTCTTAAAAAATAGATACTCTCTATAGATTTATATAGAGCGGATCCCTAGCCTTCTTCTATATAAGAAATAGCTAATCTTCTCCTTTAATAATATAGAACTACCCTAGCTATTTCAGTTAGTAAGAAATAGGTTTATAACTTTATTAAATAGTATCCTATACTCTTATCCTAATTCTTAAGATATTATGTTGAACAAAAGAGAGGCTGTTTTGTATGGTACGCCAAAGGGTAAAATGAGTGTGATTCTAAAAAGAAGTGTTCTCCTCCGAGATCTAGTTAGTTATCTTGGTGTGTGTTTATATAACTAATCGCGATAAGGAATTTTAATGCTCTGTGTCAGAATGCCGTCAACTATATTGACTATGTGGTTTGCGTCGGGTGAGTTATACTTCCTCTTCCTCTTTTTGTCCCCGATTTGCCAGGCCATAATATGCTGATCATGACTTGAATGTATAGCCCCCCTGGAGGTTATCTCAACCATACCACCGATATGATGGGTAATGCCACAGTACAGAACCCAACTAACATCACTACGGCTGTGCCTGCACCCACAAATGCCCTCAATGGATCTACCACAGATTGTGGCCAGTGGTATACAGTACGTTTCCCCCCTTGGCCTTGCCCCAAATGATACACCCATGCCAGTGTTATAATAACCAATGTAGGTCGGAGAAGGAGATACCTGCAGTCTGGTCACTGTCGCCAACTCCATATCCCTCGTGGACTTCTACTTCCTCAACCCGGAGATTGACGCTAACTGTACCAACCTCGAGCTCGGAGAGGCCTACTGCATTACTGCCGTTGGAGCCATCAGTACCTACTCTGGCTACCCAGTCACAATACCTTTGTTTACTGTGACCACCGCCAGCTTCCCCGCCGTCGATACATCGATTCCCACGACCACCAGTGATCCGGTATTTATCTATACGCTAACGTATCTCCCCACGGCCCCGGACATACACATAGACTGCGAGCGATACGTTAACTATGATAACAGCACGTATAACCTTAATTTGTGCCAGTGGATTGCCTGGCTGAATGAGGTTATAACGGCCAACTTCCTCGACTGGAACCCTAGTCTTAACTTGAATCTGAGCCTGTGTACCATGCAGCTAGGGGATAGTTATTATGCCATTCTCGATAGTTCGTATAGTGAGTACTCTTCTTGCGATCTTGCCCCTTCTTTCGAGTTGAAGTCTAATGTCATTCCTTTTTCTTCTTTTCGTGAATATAGTAACCAGCGATGACAACACCAGCGGTAGCGACAGCGAGGTTGATAACTCTTCGCTCTGCTTGCCTTTGAACGCTACCGAGCCTACCACTGTCTCAAACTGCATCTGCTTTACGGGTGTTTATAGCTATAAAAGTGGAGGTATGGAAGGATTAAAAAAGAAGTGAAAAAAAGATAATCACTTACAGCCATACTAATTCTCTCCAGACTATCAATGCGCTGATATCGAGGACGATTTCGATATCACCGAAGCCGAACTAATCGCTTGGAACCCCTGGCTGGCGGCCGACTGCGACATGAATCTGTACGCAAACCTTACCGATATCGATGCTCGTGCCGTCTGTATTGGAGCGAACTCTGGCGCGTCTACAACTACTACTACTACTCCCAGTACTACTAGTGCTACCACCACTACTACGCCGGCCGCCCCGACCCAAACTGGATATATTGACGGATGCCAGGAGTTTTATACCATCGCGTCAGGTGACAATTGTTCGACCATGGAGGCGGACTTTGGCATTACCCTTGCGCAACTTTATGAGTGGAATCCTAGCAGTAAGGCCCCATCCACCTGGATTAACCTCTCTAGATATCCAGGAATCAAAGGCTAAATTAAACTACAGTTAGAAGCATATGTGCAAACCTCTGGCTTGGATACGCCTACTGCGTAAAGGGTCCCGCGGCTATAACAAGCAGTACAGCTGGTGCGCCCACACAGACTGGCATCGCGTCCAACTGCAACGAATATCACACGGTTGCTTCTAGGGACTCGTGCGCGGCGGTTAAGAGTGAGTACGGAGTCACCTTTGCGCAGCTGTACGAGTGGAACCCGGCGATCGGGTCAGACTGTCAGTATTTGGATGTTGGCTATGCCATTTGCGTTGGTGTTTCCTAAAAACAAACAAAAGCCGTGGGAGTGGGAAAAGAACATGTTAGTAACTGTAAAGAGAAGAGTATTATTGGCTATAACTATACATTGTTTTCTCGTAAGGACAACCTCGTAGTCTACAGGTTGGGATGACTACTTTTTTTCTCTTTTCTTTTAAGAATCAAAACAAATAGCCGGTGGCCGTCGATACTCAAGGTCCTAATCCGACCCATCGCGTATCGTAGTGGAGGCTATAATTTGCGCTCGATCATAGTGAACCTTTATCCAGCCCACATCTTCCCTCGTATAGCCATACAATAGCTCGTACTCATCATCATCTTCTTCCCCTTCAGCAATCTCCGGCACCCACCGCCCATTGATCATCACCATAAACCTAGTAGTATTTAACTTATCCAATCTCTCCTCCGGAATCTCTAACACAGACCGTACCGCTTCCTCATTAACCAGGATACAAAGCCGATATCGGGCTCTATACGCCCATTCTGCGCGCTCATATGTCACCCCTTGCTCTGTCTCATAGGCCGTCCTCGCCCACTCCTTGAAAGCGTCTCGTATCTGAGTGGGTGTCGCTCCGTCAAATCGACTCTTGTCCTCCATCACCGTGGGCCGGAAAGAATCCCATATATCGAGACCTTTGTAGTATTCTAGTGTCCTGCGGACACGGCCCAGGAACCGGCGGAGGAACTCTTCCCAGTCTGACTTGCTTTTGTAAGTGGTTCGGTAAATGGCAATACCCCAGTATCGGAACCCGTCGTCTTGCATGTTTATCTCGATGAGGTCGGCTTCATTGAAGATGACTGGGTACCCTGGGGTTCTTTTGGAATCTTCGATGACCATGGTTGGTGATGTGGACGAAAATGACCGAACGGGTAATTGAACTTGAAGCGGAAGATTCTGTTGGAGCCTTCTTTTAATACCGGGTCGTGCTGCTGTTTTATGCCGTGATGCGAGGATGGAATGTCCAGTGGTAAATAAAGGTAAAGAGGCGATGCTTGAGAGGGTCCTGCTGGGGGCGCTAGATTGATATGTTGGGCTTTTCAGGAGGCTTCTGACCCGGGCGGAGATTAATGACGACATTGCATGATTTTTAGCCGTCGCAAAAATTAATTAAGATGCAGAAACCAAGAAAATCGCGGTTTAGATCAGAAATCATACCAAGGGGGCCTCCCTGACCTCTCACTTTGATCCCCTGCGGTCCACGAAGTGACCGCGCCCCGACTTAGGTGGCCCTACCCCACACATCCATCTTCAGTTACAATACAGACCCGGCTCATATTATTCTTAGGATGTCATGCTCCTACCTTTCACCTTAGATAGCCCACGAAAGGCGAGGGAGCCGTCAAGAACAGATTGTTGGCCTTTCTAATCAGCCAAAAGCGAATTTCTGAAGTCGAGCATTAATTCCCGTACGAGTTGGGTAAAGCGTTGCAGGGCCAAGGTCCCAACTTGACTCAGCAACCTTAGGGGCATCATGATTCACACCTGAACTTTCGGCGTCCGGGGTCCCTAGTAAAGCCTGCGATATGGATGGCAAGGGAAGCTCGTCGCCGAGAAGGCGTTGATAAGTGCACTGTCTTTCTCGTTGGGTGCATTCCGCACACGGAATTTCCCCATTACAGGCTTTCCTGAGGCTTGCGCAACTATCACAGGCACGTTTGTGTTTTCCACCGCGTTCCGGCTCGGGGATTGCATGGCCACTGTCCACACGGGCCTTGCACGATTTCCAATGCCTCCGTAGCACATCTCTAGGTGTTTTTGTCAGCACACATGACGAGGTGAGATATCTCTCTTCAGAAGTGATGGAAGATGACACACCCTCGGCTTAATGCAGAGCCGCAAAATGAACAGATGTGGCTCTTCGCCGTGTGATCTGTGGCAAGTCATTACTTTATCCATCCGAGTATATTGGAAACAACATACGAGTAAGGGCATGGCGTTTCATATGATCTAATCGCTGAAAATTGGAGGAACATTCTTTACATTTCCACATCTTTTGGCCTGTTGTGGTCTCTGGCCTTTGTACTCGTTGCTTCATGGGGGGTTGGCGTCGGTTTAATAGAAGGCCCCGAAAAGGTGACAACCTCAGATGTGGATCTCACAAGATAGATCATTTGCGGAAGACGGGCTATTAACAGCCTTCGAGTGGGTGTATCCCGCCAAGATCCCCCGGATGAAACCAGAATTGAATATGCAATCCGAGATTCGAAGTCGGTTGTAGACTTGGCGCGGCTCAAAGCGACGATGATGAGCGAGACTCGGTAATTCGACGTTGGCGATTGGCGAGGGAAAGGGAGAAGTCGGTTGTGAGATTTAGCCCGTCGCGATTGCCCCGCCCATGACGAACACAAAGATTAGGCCCAGTAAACAAGTCAAATTGTTTGAGAAATATATAAAGGGTGCATAGATTGTCCACTTATCAATCTCTTCAGTAAATCAGATGCGACAAAACGACAAGAGGAGGGAAGAAACAGAATTGGTGGCCTAAAATATCAGGCAACAATCTCAAGACACGTCACACTTGAGGATATGCCTTCTATTGGCCCAGACCCAATAGCCATGGAGAATGATAGGACAGAAGATTATTATAATAACTGGCCCAATGACAAGGGTGTAAGTGAAGTGATAGACAACCCAAATTATACATGCTAATCCCTGCTTAGTTCGATCCTGAATACGAACAGCGCAAACCCGTCGAGCTCTCTGTGATAGGACATATTCCTGCCTACGCTGCTGGAGTTCTGTACCGCACAGGTCCAGGTAAAAGCCATGTCAAAGCTGAGAATGGAGAAACACTGCGCCTCTCCCACTGGTTCGATGGATTCGGTCAAAACCATCGTTTCCAGATCTTTGCTCCAGATGACTCCTGTACTTCACCTCGGGTTTTCTACAACTCTCGCTTCTCAACCGATGACCAGATCGAATTAGCAAGGAAGACTGGATCTCTGCGCACGATCAGTTTCGGACAGAAACGCGATCCTTGCAAGAGCGTCTTGGGCAAAGTCCAGACTGAATATGTCGCGCAACCCACCCCGTCGAGTAAGAACATATCTGTCACCCTTTCGATCAATGTTCCAGGCCTTGACCCCAAGCCCGATGAGTCAAAGTCAGCTTCTCGGTGGAGTGATTCCCGAGGAATCCGGACGCTCTATGCGAAGACCGACTATAACGCCTTCCAAAAGCTCGATCCAGAAACCCTGGAGCCCATCGGCCTGGCCTCGCAGACAAGTCTACACCCTGAGCTTTCGGGGCACCTCGCTGCATCTCATGCCCGATCAGACCCTATCACGGGAGACATGTTCAATTATAATCTCACACTGGGACCGACCTGTACATACCGTGTTTTCGGGGTCTCGGCTTCGACTGGGGAGACCACAATCCTAGCAACCTTCCCCGCAATACCTGTTTATATTCACTCATTCCTCATCACGGAGGACCACATTTTGCTGTGTTTGTGGAACTCGCACATAAAGCCGCGGGAGTTTGACTCCTCGTTCATAGATGCGATCTCGCCAACAGACCCAAGTCAACCGGCAGTGTGGCATGTCATTGACCGTAAGCATGGCAAGGGATTGATCGCGACATACGAAAGCCCTGCGTTCTTTTGCTTCCACACGGTCAACGCATGGCTCGAACCCTCGAAGGAGAATCCGGCGGAGATGGATATTGTTGCAGATGTCGTGAGAGCCGACAGCTCTGAATGTTTGCAATCTCTCTATTATGAGAACTTGATCTCTTCGTTGGATACAGCCAAGGCCTTCCAAAAGAAGAAAGACGATTCTTTACGTTCATCTTTTACTCGGTTCCGACTGCCTGCGGTGCCTTCCACTCCATGCACCGAACCCAAGAAAGCAATAGTCGAGTGGTCTGTTTGCAAATCGTTATCGCCTGAGCTGCCAACTCTGAATCCGAAAATTGTCACTCAGAAACACCGATATGTCTACGCTGTGACCTTCCGCGGAGAGGCAACTCTGACAGATGGTATCATGAAGCTCGATTGTGATACCCAGCAAGTGCAGCTCTGGGCATGCCACGGCCAATCGCCTGGTGAGCCCATTTTCGTCGCTAACCCCGAAGGCACTAGCGAGGATGACGGCGTACTTCTTAGCGTGGTTCTCGACGGGATGCGTGGCAAGAGTTATCTACTCTGCCTCGATGCTCGTAACTTGTCAGAGCTTGGTCGAGCAAATGTCGATGGGGCTGTTGGGTTCGGATTCCATGGACAGCATGTTCCGACTGTGGGTGGAATGCCTACAGGTGACTACTAAGTGTGAAGTTCTTTTTCGGATATTATTACTGTTAGTATTACATAGATTGACACCTGTTAAATTCCATAGTCTAGCCTTAGCTTTCTAGCTCTATATAACCAGACAGTTAAGAGAGATTGTTAGAAACCCAAGCCTAAGGAGTATTCAGGCAAGTATACATTTTTTCCTATCACAAACATCTATCAAATTTTCGCGTAGATTCTATATTGTACTCTCATTGGTTAATTTCTTCGAGCTAAACCAAGCCCCAAGCTGACATCAACTCCATATCCCTCTTTCATATATCATTCCTCAGAGCTACTTATTCCACTTCAACTTCCAAAATGGCATCTCCAGGCGAAAAAGATATATCAATTCTTCTGGCAACAATGCAACCAAGCCTAGACCCAGCAACCTACGTCTTCCTCACAACCAAATCACCCCTCCACTCACTACCCCTCTCGACACTCCAACCGCAACTAATCGTGCAAGAAGAAGAGGGAACAACGATCGTGACAACAGAAGCGCTCGCCACCTCGCATGGCTTCAACGAGCCAATCTTCCCCTGCAAGAAGATCTCCCTTACTATCCACTCCAGCCTGGAAGCCGTCGGCTTGATCGCTGCCATTACTAACCGGCTGAAGGACCACGGTATCAGTACCAATGTTGTCAGCGGGTATTTCCACGATCATATCTACGTACCCGTTGCGAGGGCGGAGGATGCGATGCGGGTTTTGGAGGAAGAGGCTGCTGAGGCGAGGGGATGAGGGGAAAGTTGTTTGCATATAGGTTCAAAGGCTTAATCAAACGGATGTAAAACGAAAAAAAGCGTGGATTAAACCCTGATCCTCAGTGTACTAACTAATGAATCTCGAATGTCTATCTCAAGAGACGCCGGAAAAGTCAGACACCCCACCCCCATACCCATACCTAGGTAGTAATGCAGCTCCGCTCTTCGGGGGCCTTTTTGTGTGCGAATTTAGGCTTAAATCAAAGCGATAAGCCTTTAAAAACAAAGCAGAAACAAGAAAACACCGCCAATGTGGGCCTGGCTCTTGGATATTGTACATTTAGACAAGGGAGAGGACCTGGGAACCATAAAGACAGTGAGAACATGAATAATCAGGGTATTAATCGTACAGAGATATTGATTCATGATAAACGAAAAAGAAGCCGTTGCGACACCGGAAAACATGTAATAGGAAATTTAATAGTCTACCTCCTTCTCAATCACCATGATTAACTCGGTAAGCTCCTTGCGCAGCGCACGATTTCGGTCCCAGACTTCGACGATCTTGGGGCGCTGGCTCGTGAAGCAGGCCTTCTTCCAGGGAAGTCCACCATATTTGGACGTGGTCCGATTCGGCAGGCCCCGGGCGATGTTGCGCAGCACCAACGCAGCCTTATAGGCCACGCCAAATGGCTCGCCCTTTTCATTGATCGGTGTATCCATGTAATACCATTTGCGGACGATTCGCTCTTGGAGAACCACACGCTTGGCGGTTGTGGGCTGCGCGTCGGCGGGGCGGTCTTCGGGCAAATGCGACGAAACATGACCGGCCACCATGGATGTGTTGGCGCTGGGCCCAGATG